CAACATGCATTGAGACAACGTTAGAAGGAGACCAAGAGCTAAGTGAAGAAGTTCTATTGAATGCTTGTACAAGAAACGTGACGGGTTGCCAAGTTTCGTTCGTCGGCAAGTATTCTGGTATGCAAGCCAACAAGGTGGGCGGCACTGTCATCAAAGATTTTCTGTTGAAGAAGACACAAGGAAGGGACATCACCTGTGGGAACGAAGAATTCAAGGTGAGTTCGATACTATGACTTTTTTTTTCTGAAGGCTGATGTTTTATTTTCTTGGTTAAGGTGGATTCACCACCATGTTTCAAACAATTGTCTAGACATGACAACGAGAGAGTCCAAGAAGTTCTCAATGACTTGTTGAAAGTGAGCAACGTTCATCGTTTTGGAGAGCAGTATTGGAAAGATGCATCTTCTCGTCGAACACAAGTTTATACGTCTTTTATGACATTTGTCATTGCATTGCTGGGAATTTGTGCTGGCTCCTTGAGCAGGACTCTCTTAGAGTGGGAAGATTCATTATTTCGCCAACTCGATCAACTTAAGTTGGCCGGAAAGCCAGGCTACCGTCCACTAATCAGAACTTTGGGGCGGACAGTGTTCATTGCTGGTTCAGTGGCAGGAAGCTTGCCAGGTCTCTACTTCAGCATAAAGGACCTCGAGAAGGAACCTTCCCTTGCCACTGCTGAGACAATTCTCCAGCTCAATCATAACATAGCATTCCTAGTGACAACGACATCCACAGTTGAAGTTACTCCAAACTGGATAGTCTTCCAGGAGTTCACTGTGTTTATTGGATTAGCAGTGGTTGCACTAGCCATCCTCATCTACTTCAAATTAGAGAAAAATCTACGTCAGTAACATGATGAGAAAAGTTTTCAGCAACAAGGGGATTCTCCAGGTAAATCTTCATCACTTCTGTTTTGAGCTAACATATGTTAATTTTTCTGACAGACAAAAATGCATAGCTCGCTTCGTGTTTCCGCGTTGATTTTCTAGTCTAGCTGTCCGGGGCCAGCCTGCTTTTCCGTGCATTTCTTTAACTTCTTTTATGTAAGAAATAAGTATGACAAATTAGGGTTTTATTATGCGATATTGCCAAATACCATAACATGAGTATGAAGGGGACAGTTCACAAAGGTTAAATTATATAGTGCGGAAATAATGTGAGCATACATTCGTAAGGTATAATTGACTATATGAAATAGATTGCTTCAAAAATTATTTTTCTATTTTCTCTTCATTCTTTTGTTATAACACAAGCTTTTTTCTTGTTGTATTATGGGCGTATTTCTTCGAAGTGTCTAATTGAATGCTGTTAGATTAGTTTGATGAAATATAATTCTAGAAATCAGTAGTATAACAGTATAATTCAAGCATACTTGACTAGATTGCTCGCTCGCTCACCAATCCCTTCTTTCGTGGATTGCTTTGTGAAAAGAGCGGTTTCATGAAAGTGTCGCTTTGGCCGAGTGGTTAAGGTAGTAGTAGGAGGAGACAGCAGAAGAGAAGAAAGAGAAGTAGTGAGTAGTAGTAGAAAAAGAAGAAGAAATAGGACGAAAACACTCCAGAAAAACAAGCTCACTCAGAGGGTCCAGGGCTTGAGCAACGAGTCCATACCTCTCTCGTAGATGGCCTTGGCAACGCAAGCGTCCTCCTGCTTCCCAAACCTCACCTCCCACTCCATCTCCATCGCCCTCTTTGCCGCTTCCTTGTCCCGTGCGTAGTCTGCCATCGTCTCCAGGTAACTCTCGTTGCCATCGTTGCCAGCCGTGAGCTTGTGCATCGCCTCCATAATCACCTCTCCCGCTGGAACATAATCCCCTCCGGCAGCGCCACCACGTTTCCAACCTCCACCTGCTGGTAGTCCACAGGTAGAGCGACCAGTGGATCGCTCTCACGCACTGCCTCTCCTCCTCATCCTGGAGCTTTGTCGAAAACACTTGCTCCAGCTTCACCACCATCCAGGCCGGACTGATCCCTCCCTTGAACGGAAACTCAAAGTTTGCCTCGGCCAAGTCCCTGTAGAAGCCAGTCCCCTGCGCGAGATCCTCGAAGGAGAGCCTCGTCCGCCTGTAAGGATGGCCGCCGATGATGAAGCAGAACCCGAGTGATGTCTCGGGTGGCAAAGTAGCACGCCGTGGTGCCAAACACCCTCTGGGAAACGTTCCCAACACAGGAGTGGTTGATGAAGCGGGGGACGAACCAAGTAGCGACGTAGAGCAAGCGTACCGTCGGCTCGTTCTGGCTTAGGCAGCTGCACCTTAGGATTGAAGGAAGCTTGGCTGACCATTTCGAAAAATCTCTCGACCGTAATCCCTTGGAGAGCTTCCCTGCTACTGTCGGTGCTGCAGTTCTTCGGCGTGGCCCAGTCTGGCTGGAAAATCTCCATTGCGGGAACTTCACGCTCGTTCCCTGCGACCTCGCAAGCATCAGCTTGTATGCTCGCGGAGACTTCATGGCCATGTCGAGCAGCCAGACTGCAGTGTTTCTATCGCAAATGGATCTGTAACCACCTCGCTCAAAGGCTGGCGAGTTGCTGACAAGAACGAGCTCGCCTTCTTGATGCTTGTCGTTGTAAAGAGTCCCCGGCCTCGTCCCTTGCTCTGATCTTCGCATTTTCTTACTTCCACTTTGCAAAAGTTGTCCGCAACCGGAAGTTCCTCTCCTTCACTCCAGGCCCGGACAAAGTCACAAATCTCTGCCATGATGCTGCTCCTGTCGCGGCGCTGGATGGCAAGCTTGTTGCATCTCTGGTGCAGTCAATCGATTGCCTTGTCCACCCCAAGAATGTCACCCAAAAGCTTGCATGACCAGTCGTAGAGATGGAGCTTGAGCAGCGCCAAAGCTTTCTGGTACATACTCTTGAGATGGCAGGGATCCACGGAGAGAGCAGCACTTGCGGCATCCACACACTGCCCAAATCGTCCCAGCTTGAGGAAGCACTCGGCCTTGTTCGACAGTGCAAGTACTCGATCTCGCTGGAGGTCGCATTTCGCCGAGGCTTGGGCGGTAGCCTCAAAGCTGCCATCTTGGAAGAGCTTGTTGCCTTCCAATCGCAGCGCCGCGGCGGCCATACCTCTGAATCGCTCCAGCTGCTCGTCGCTGAGGTAGGAGATCACCTCCACGGTTGTCCAACGAGGTGAAGGAAGAACCCTCTTGCTTCTGGAGCATCGGCTCCTTGACGGCCACTCTCGGATATTTCGCTCGGACTTGCTCGGATGTGGCGTCGCTGCCCACTGCATGCTTGATCGCTAGAAGAACCTCGTCGCCGCTGGAATCCCTGAGCGTAGTGAGTACCTGGACGCTATCCTCGAGCTTGAGCGTATCCGCAATGAGCACTCCATGGAGAACACAGCCTCTGGCGAGCGATCCTGGGCGGAGATTCGCAATCCTGGTTGGCGCTAGGGCTGAGACCGTGATCTGCCTGGTGCTTCTGGATCATCATCGACACCACATCATCTCCGGATCGGTGTGCGGCCGAGAGGGAGAGATTTCGGTGCCCGAGCGAGGCAGAGCATCATCGCCGTCGCTCGCAAGCTTGAAAGAACTAGGGTTTAAGCTCCCTCCATTAAGAAAAACGAATCTACCTTGTTTACGTCAAGATTTTTTGAATCATAGATCTTCTCTAAATTAAACTGAGTATTAAAGGCGGAAAGTTATGCTACTTCTTATGGTTGGTTTAATTACTTCCTTCTCATTGTTGGATTCTTGTGCTTGGCAGGACGAGAATATTACAAAGTTCAGAGCTCTATGTTTCCTAAATCATACCTGTGGGACATGCTGAAACTTCCTTCTCATTGTTGGATTCTTGATTACTTCTATCATTTTTGCTACAGCTCTGAAGCATGCCTGTGGGACGTGCTGAAACTTCTTTTTCATTGTTAGATTCTTGATTACTTCTATCCCATTGTTGGATTCTTGTACGAGAAGAGCAAACTTCATGATTTGCAAGGTAAAGTTCATAGTTTACATCTGGATTTTCACTCATTCATGCTGAAACTCAAGACGAACTACGATGGAACCGTCATCATGTATCCATCCCTGCAACTCGTCGCTCAGACACAGCTCCATTGTCTTCCTCAAAGAACTGGTACGTGAATCCCTCAAATATTGACTCGGGAACAACGTAACGAGCTTGTACTGCTCGGGGCGCGGCAGCTTCCGCTTGTCATGCAAATCATCCAGCTCTCGAACAACTTCGTCGATCTCGGACCAGCAACTTCTCGTCGTGGTCACCCGCAGAATCATGTCCGCGAGCTGAAAGCCTTCCCACTCGACGAGTAGCGCTCCACGAAGCAATAGTCCGGCAAGCATGCGAGTCCGCGAGATTCATCCGCTTGAGTAGCCGCTTCACCGATCACTGGACGCCGCCACCTTTCACCTCCAGGGACCGAAGAGCAAATCGAAGCCTCCACTCGCAAGGATCAGATGGATCGTTCAACTCGGTGGTGAGTGCAAGATTGGTGTTTGGATTGGACTCTGCCCAGCGCTTTGCTCTTGCGAATCACGAGCCAGGAACTTGCACTGCTGCAGTTCCTAGAGAGATCAAGCTCCCAGGACATGGTCTTTGGACACATGGAATTTTTTTGCCCAGAATCCCCCATTTAATCGCACATAGCTTGCATAATCCCATTCTAACTTAATCAACATTTGCTATCTTGCTTAACTCCGAAAACAAGGACGGATTCAGATTCACAGGGATACCCTGCCATGTTATATAGAAGTGTTAGTGTTTCACGAGTTTATAAGCCATGATCCAGTACTTCCAGACAATGCCCTTTGAGGGCATATGCAGTGCACATCACTGTCCAAAAAGAAATATCTCCCCATTGAGTCGAAGCTGAATTTTCTCTATCGCAGTACCAACTAGCAAGATAGCTGTCGATATTATCACTCCTTGCAATGGATTCGTGGAGCCTCCACTCATCCCTCCAGAGGTCTCCTTCTCAAGTGATTAGACTATTTCACGGGATAAGCACGACAAGGTGTCTCAAGGCTAGGGTTTTCTCCAGCGGCGGTCCTGGCGCCTCGATTCGATCAGGTGACACGCATTCTCGAGCTCGCCTTTAGCGCTGCCGATCGTCCATGGGAAATTCCACATCCATTGCGAGGAGGAGCAAGCGATCTTGGAGCTCGCTCGCCAATCCCTTCTCTCAAGCGCCTCCCGTGGAGAAATCTCCAGCCCAGCGGCCGATCGAGAAGATCCTGATCGCGAACAGGGGCGAGATTGCGTGCCGGATCATCAAGACCGCGCGTAGCTTGGGATTAAAAACGGTGGCGGTTTACAGTGATGCCGATCGAAACTCGCTACACGTCCGTCGAGCCGATGAAGCAGTGTTTATCGGCCCCGCCTCTGCGCAGCTCAGCTACTTGTCCACTACTTCCATCCTCGACGCTGCTCGTCGCACTGGAGCCGATGTAAGCTTTCATTTCTTTTCTTCTCGACTCATACATATCCAACTTCTCAGGCAATCCATCCCGGGTATGGATTTCTATCAGAAAATTCGAAGTTTGCGCAGGCTTGCCACGAGTCTGGGATCACATTCATTGGCCCTTCGGCAGCTGCGATTAGCTTGATGGGAGACAAAAGGTACGCCAACTCCATTTTTCTTCAAAGAACCAGCCATAAGAACTATCTTGGAACTCCTTAGTGCCTCCAAAAAGCTTATGAGCGGTGCTAATGTTCCTGTTGTTCCTGGATACCACGGGGATGATCAGAGCCACGAGCTGCTGCAATCTGAGGCTGATCGGATTGGCTATCCCGTTCTGATCAAGCCTGTTCTTGGTGGCGGAGGAAAGGTTGGTTTTTTGCTTTCTTTTGGTATTTTGTTTCATGTTGGCGACACTACTGATTTCTCTTGTAAAGTTTTGGTTCAGGGCATGAGGATTGTCCACAGCAGAGACGAGTTTCTGGACAGTTTGAGAAGCGCTCTACGTGAGTCTGCTGCTGCATTTGGCGACACCAGGGTCTTGATTGAGAAGTATATCGCACAGCCTCGACACATAGAAGTCCAGGTGGGAGATTTTGTTCAACCTGGAAATTTATCACAGACTTGCTGACAGATCTTTGGCGACCGCTTTGGTAACGTTGTTCATTTGTTTGAACGGGACTGTAGCGTTCAGAGGCGCCACCAGAAAATTATAGAGGAAGCACCAGCGGTAGGACAATATTTCAGGCTGTTTGCTGTTTCACCATGTTTTTTTTTTATATTCCAGCCGCTCATGTCAGACGACTTTCGCAACTCAATAGGCCAAGCAGCAGTCAATGCGGCTAAGGTATCCTCTTTTGTGATTTGCTGCTGTCAAATCAAAATTTCTTTTCTATCGAAGGCTGTGAATTACGAAAATGCTGGCACTGTTGAGTTTATTGTCGACACTGCAACAGGAGAGTTTTTCTTCATGGAGATGAACACACGTTTGCAAGTAAGGACGGACTTCCACTAGTTTCTGTATATGCTGAATTAAACTTCTGGTCAGGTTGAGCACCCTGTCACCGAAATGGTGACGCGTCAAGACTTGGTGGAATGGCAAATTCGTGTCGCAAATGGCGAAAGCCTTCCACTTGAGCAAAAGAGTATACCGCTGCAAGGTAGCTTCTCTACACTATTTATTCCCGAAGATTATCGCAGCTAAGCAGGTCATGCGTTTGAGGCTCGGGTCTATGCTGAAAACGTTCCAAGAGGTTTTCTACCTGCTGCTGGAGTTCTTTACCATTATAATCCACCTCCCGCTTCATCCACTGGTAACTCGTGTCAAACTTGGAGAATCCTAAGCAGTTTATCTTGTCAATGCAGTGAGAATTGAGACGGGTGTAGAGCAAAGTGATGCTGTAAGCGTCCACTACGATCCTATGATAGCCAAACTGGTCGTATGGGGTAGTGATCGCGATATGGCGTTGGCGAAGCTTCATAATTGCCTCTCGAATTTTCAGGCAAGTTGGTTTGCTCTTTTTTCTTTCTATTGTTTAGTGCTAACATTGCATTCGCCAGGTTGCTGGACTTCCAACTAACATCCACTTTTTAAAAAAGCTTGCAAAACATCCGGCTTTCAGGGCTGGGGACGTGGAAACACACTTCATTGAACACCATAAGAACGAGCTACTAGATTTTTCCGAAAGTGCCAAGCGAGATGTAAAACCTTTCGCTGCTTTAGCGGCCGTTGGCGTATGTATAAGGGAGAGTTTTCGACGACCAGGTAAGATCGACTCGCAGTTTTGAGATAGCCAGCATTTACTATTTCCAGTGCAGAATCGAGAATTGGAGGCCCATGGCATACAACTTCTGGTTTTCGAGTCAACAATCCTTATACCAGGAAGATCTCGTTAGACTGGATGCCTGAGTCCGAGAGTCTCTCATGCGAACCGATGAGCTTAGATGTCACCTATTCAAGTGACAACGAGTTCTTAGTAAAGGTAAACGCATTGTTTTTCCTTTTCCTATTCCCTATGTGGAGTCATATTGTGCAGTTTGCGGGAGATTTATCTTGTGTCAGACTTACAGCTAAAAGAGTTGCTAGTTCTGGCTGTGACATAACTGTCGACATCAATGGCATTTCCTCCACTATAAACTATGGTTATTATCTGCAGGTATGCAGTTTTCTCTCCTTTCAATTCAGATCTAATTAGCATTTTCTGGACAACAGAAATCGGCTTATCATATTCACGTGTGGAAGGACGGCGAGCACCATCACTTTACAACAGCGTTGCGGGAGGCCTATGATACAGAAAGCCATGGTGAAACATCTCAACGATTAACAAGTTCTGGCGGTAGTAGCAAGCTAACACCGGGAGCCGTCGCTTCTCCCATGGCCGGACTGGCTGTGAAAGTTCTTGCAGAGCTGGGCTCAAATGTGAAAGCTGGAGATCCTCTCCTGGTTTTAGAAGCTATGAAAATGGAGGTAAAAACCTTATATTTGTTCGTATTTGTTGCTTTCCTCTTACACACCTTTTTGCAGCACACTGTAAAAGCACATATTTCTGGTGTTATCAATCAAGTGAACGTCACTGCCGGCCAGCAAGTTAGCGACGGGGGGATTCTTTTTCACATCAAGGCTCAAGAATCATAATAGTTCACGAGTGTCTTGAAACTGTGCGTAAGTCAAAAGGTAGCTTTATATTCAGTAACGTTCGATCGTCTCTAACTTACTGCCTGAGCAAAAAAGGACACTCAGTCTAGAAGTTAAGGAGAACTCGCTATGGGCGACCGCTACTCGGCCCCGGTAAAAGCGAGTACTCATCAGCGTCTCGGCTCCTGAAAGGCCATATTGACGGCATTCTTCCACTCTGGATGCAGACATAGCAGCCATAGCACAGGAACAAGACCACCGCGATCACCAGCACGATCGCCAAGGCCAGTAGGAACTTTGCTCCAAAACGATCCCATTTGCTCTTTCCTGTGGCAAAGAGAGAACTAACATCAACGTCTCGTACTCCAGGAGCTCTAAAGCTCACCGCGATGGACGAGCAAGTAGTACGTCGAAGGCTCGTGTTCCAGAGCCGTGACCGCGATCTCAAAGAGAGTATCTTCCCCAGCCTTGCCAACTTGGAGCTGCGGGCTTGGAACGCCACTCTTGAGAGGAATGGAGTTGACAGTCACCGTGTACTCGTCGCGCTCCTGGAGCAGCAAAGCAACAAATCAGAGCAAAGTTTCACCAAGAACACTACCTCTTCCTGCGAGACAGTGGCAACGATCCTGATCTTTCGTACGCCCGAGCTCACGGAGGAGGAATAGTTGTAAGTCCGGGGGCTAAAGTCTGGCGAGAGCTTTCCACCGTTGGTGATGTTCAGGCCGGCGAGAAGGGCCTTTGGAAGATGGTGTGGAGGAGGCGGAGGAGATGGTGGTGGAGGTGGTGGTAGCGGCGGTGGCGGTGGCGGCGTTCCACTTGAGCCTTGGTCATCGTCATCGTCATCGCCATCGCTGGGAGCCGGAGCTGACGCTGGAGCTGGCGCTGGAGCTGGACGGCTATGATGGTGATCGTCAGGCGCTATAGGAGGAGGCGGCGGCGGCGGCGGCGGAGATGGAGGAAACGGGGGCAGTGTTGGAAAGGAGGCAAAGCTGGAAGAACTCAAACGCTCGACTGGATCATCGCTGGAGCCGGAGTAAAGAACGATGGCTTCCTCGAGCTCGTTCTTCCCAAGTTCTTGGGTAGAAACAAGCACGAGAAAGCCGAGCAGGAGGAGCATCACAGAGCTCGACCGCATTCCTTGGAAGCGATTCTTCCAACCCAAAGAACCGAAAGGAGAAGAACCAAAAAAAAACTAACCCGAGAGTAGTTCCTCGTCACTGGACCATCGCTTCTCTGCTAGAATAGCACGAAAAAATCGAAGAACCCTAGTCCTAGAGAAGAAAACCACGAGGAAAACGAGAGGAGAGAGACAAGAAAGAAGAAACCACCGTGGAGTAACGGTTCGAGTCGTGGTTAGACACGCTTATTAAGCTAATTAGTTACTGTTAGTGTAAGCTAAGCTAATATAAGCATGGAGTTTGGCATAAACCCTAGCGCTAGATTATTGGGTGAGAGAATGCCTAGCGCGTCGCTGTCAGGGCTCGTGTTGATCGATCCCGCCGCGGAGCTGGCGCTATGTAAGGCTTCTCGATCGGCGCTGGCGGCAGTAGCATGCAACTGGAATGGCAGCGGCGGCGGTAGCGGCATGCAATGCATGCGGCCAGTGGCCCTTCCCGGGAGGATTGAGCGCGGCGCCGCGGCGGCGCCGCGGCATTGATCGGGGAATCGCGGTAAGAATGGCCAAGGGCGAGGAGGAGAGCTCCTCGTCGGTGCTGGAATCCGTGGAGGAGGCGGAGTTCTCGGGGCAGCATCCGTGGGATCCTCACAAACCCAGCTTTAGCCGGCTTCTTCCGGAGAGGATTCGCCCCTATCCTTCCTTCGAGGGATGGTACACACGGCTTGTGGATGAGCCGAGGCAATTCAGCGCTGGTGTGATCATGGCGACGAATTACGCGACGCAGGAGAGCCAGGTTACTTTGCTCTTCAGTGATTCATCGCGTAGCACACACGCTGTGGCCGTGAAAACAAAGGTGAGTTTATCCCTTTCAAGGTATGTTTTTTTTTCTTCTATTTTTTTTTATAGTTCACGCAGTCCTAGATTGCTAGCATTCGTTTTGTTTTAAGTCTACGAGTATCTCGGGTGTGAGTTTTATCATAGTTTACTAGCTTTCTAGTCTCCATCTCGTCCACTCCACTGTTCTTTTGCTTTTTTTCATCGGTCATAGTTTACTAGCTTTCTAGTCTCCATGTGTTCCCTATTTTCCCTTCTTTTTACTGCGGCATCCTTGTTTTGCAATCCTCCCTGGTGTTTTTTTTGTGTTTTTGGCCTGCATTTCTTCATTGAAAGTTTCTTAGTTTCCCCGGCTGTTTTCTTCTTGCAGGACGCGAAGTTTAGCACGATAGGAGATTTGTCTGGAGCTGACAATGACGACGAGCCCAAGGGATTTCAGTGGGAGGCTGCAGGCATTGGAAAAATCGTGATGAAGCCGAATGAGTCCGAGGTGGAGGTCCGGCTAAATGGTTACGACCTCAGAGTTGAGACGAGTGGCACGGTAATGTTCTTCATTCCAGAACCAAAACAAAATCTCATATCCCGGTGTTTTTTCCAGGTTCCATGGGATTCTGGCAACAGTAAAAAGGGCCCCGAAGGCTGGGCAGGGAAAGTTCCACTGTTCCCGTGCCATTGGTACGTGCACAGCCTGGGCTCCCGAGCAAAGTACACATTTTTCAGCAGCGACAAGAACATGGTGGTTCACGGTGACGGGTTTGCGCACCAGGAGAAGAACTGGGGAGAAACTTTCCCTGCCGGTCATGTGTGGCTCCAGGGAATGTCGCGGGATAATTCTTCCCAGATTGTCTGCTCGGGAGCTCGGTTCAAGCTCGGTAAACTCCTGGAGACCCCTTACGTCTTCTCACTCGGATACCGATCGGCCAACTGCAAATTGGATCTGCGCACCAACAACCTTGGAACCATTTTCAAGGACGTGCAGCTCTCTCCCCTGGAAGCGAAGTTCGCATTAACCGGAGTTGGTCCTTCACACACTATCAAGGTATGGTTTTCGGTTCTCTCTTCTCGTTCCTAACTCTTCTTTGTTCTTGGCTTGGCGATTAGATTCTGTGCTATGCTTCGCCGGTGTCGTTCTCGGAGCAAATCCTTGCTCCGATTGGAAAGCTCGAGTGGAAGCCCGCGTGCCGAGAGTCATTCGTGGCGACGATCGAGGTGGAAGTGTTCGAGCACGCAGTGTGGGGAGTGGCCAACGAAGATAAGCTGGTGGACAGCCAGATGTTTCGATGCGCAGCTCTCGAGTTTGGCGAAGATCTGCTCGAAGACGCGCTCCAGCAGCAAGATCAATCAAACCCAAACTAGATTCTTTACTTTAAAAAGGAGAAAAGGTTCGAAAAGATTCTTAAAGTTGGCATAAAGGCGAGGAATTTGCCTTTATCCCTTGAACTAAAGAATGAATATGCCTTTTATCTCACACTAATTTAATAGTTTAACTTAATGGTAACTCATGACCAGAAATTACCATTAAATTAGCTAAATGGATTTTTCCTCTAAAAAGCTTTAATTTAAAAGTGCGTATCAAAAAAGGAATATATTTTTAGGGCTCTCCGCATTCCACTATTCCTTCCCTGCGAATGTATTGGATAGTAGCGCTAATCCCCCAGCGGCGCTCTCTGGGTCTAGATCGATCGCTTGCTCCGCTGCCCCGGACGCCCGCCGCGCATCCCCGTGGATCCGGCAAGATCCCAGCAGCGCCGTCACGCTCGTGATCGCGGGCTGGATGGGCATCTCGCGCACCAGCTCCTCGGCGTGATCCAGCCACCCCGCGCGGCCGAAGAGATCGATCATGGATCCGTAGTGGAGCAGCGCTGGATCGATGCCGTGGTCGTCCGCCATGCACACGAAGTAGCGCCGCGCCTCCTCCAAGAGCCCGGCGTGGCGGCACGCCGAGAGGATGCTCACGATCGTCACGCGGCTGGGCTCCATTCCCTCGAGATGCATCGCTTGGAAGAGCTCCCTTGCGCGGATCCAATCGCCGTGCTGCGCGAAGGAGATGACGATCGAGTTCCAGGCGATGGTGTCGCGCTGGGGGAGGGCCAAGAACACGGCCATGGCGAGATCCAGGCGCCCACACTTGCTGTACATGTCGAGCAGGGAATTCGCGATCTGGATGCGATCGTGGACGCCGCTGGCGATCGCCCTGGCGTGGAGGATCCGGCCGTCGGCGAGGCGCGAACTGGATTTGCAAGCATCGATCGCGCTGACGAACACCACGGCGTCGGGCTTGGTGCCCTCGAGATCCATCTCGCGGAGCATCGCTAGAACGCCAGCGGCATTGCCGCTCTGGGCAAGCGCTGTGATGATGCTGCCCCAGGAGATCACGTCCCTGTGGATCATCCCGTGGAAGATCTCCAGCGCTCGCTCGATCCGGCCGCTCTTGGCGTGGAGATTGATGAGCGAGTTCCCAATCGCGGTGCTGGATTCCAGGCCGCAAGACGCGATCGCCTCGCCGATCGCCGCGAGGTTGCGCGGGCAATGCGAGGGATCGCTGGCGAGCGCGTCCATGATCGTCATCATCGAGACGCGGTCCTGCCGCACGCCCTCGAGATTCATCCGGTGGAAGAGCGCCACGGCCAGATCGATGCGGCCGTGCTGGGAGCACGACGAAACCATCGCTGTCCAGGCCACCACATTGGAATCCAGCGAGCTCTCGCGGAAGAAGATCGCCGTGGATTCGTGGAGGAGCCCCCACTTCCCATACATGGCGATCAGTCCAGTTCGCAGGTAGGGATCGCGCTCCAGCCCGGAGAGGAAGATCCACTCGCGAATCGGCGCCGCGGCGCTCCGGATGGATGGATCCGCGAGCCCTAGCACGGCCAGGGACTCGAGCACGCTGGCGATCACGAGCCTGTCCGCGCTAACGCCGGAGAGCTGCATCCTCCGGAAGAGATCCATCCCCTCGCGATGCAATCCCATCTCGGCGTGCGCCGCGATGATCGACGTCCATGTAAGAACATTGGGGTCGGGGATCTCGCGGAAGATCGCCCAGGCGCGATCCAGGAGCTCGCATTTGCAGTAGAAGTGGACGAGCGCGCTGCCAACAACGACATCGATCGCGATTCCACTCGCCACGATCCGGGCGTGGAGATCGCTCCCAGTGGCGAGATCTCTGGCGGAGGAGCACGCGCCCAGGATGGCGAGGAAGGTTACATCGTCCGGCTTCACGCCCTCGAGATCCATCCGGCGGAAGAGATCCAGCGCCTCCAGCAAATGCCCATTGCGGGCATACACAGCGAGCATCACAGTCCAGGAGAAAACGTTCCTCCAGCGCATCCGATCGAAGGTGGATCGCGCCTCGCCGACACTGCCGCAGCTGCCATACATCTGGATGAGGTGATTCGCGAGGAACCGGTCGAGATTGCCGTTGCTGGCGATGGATTCGTGGAGCCGCCGCCCCTCTTTCAGATCGCCTGTGGCGCCGCATTGCCGGATGAGGGATGCGAGGTAGCTGTGGGGTTTCTGGGGATCTGCGAGAGTGGAGGATGTGGAGAAGGCCGCCCGGGCCAGGAGCCTCATCGAGAGCTCTCCATTTCAAATTCTAAGTGACCGCCATCGCCATAGCGAAGAACCCTAATTAGGGTTTATGGTGTCCATTCTATCTATGACGCAGTTTCTCCGTCCAGCGCTTGCGTCTCTTTCCGCTGCGGCATTTGCTGGATGCATTGGAGCTAAGGTATGGAATTCGAGATTTCGATCTACATTCTCCTGTAATTCTTCGTTTTTTCATGATTACGAATTTCTAGCTTGGGATTCTTCTTTTTTTCTTAGATATTTCTAGCTACATTTTGCTGAAATTCTTTCTTTTTGTTCTTAAGCATGGATGCAAGGCTCTTTGCTCGATTCCAGAGCAAAATCAAACGACCTTGCAAGCTGCTATTGCTGCTGGGAAAGGTCCGACTTTGATTGCTTTCTATGCGGATCATCACGTCGTGCCTCTGCCGAAAGGACACAGGTTTCCCATGGATAAGTGAGTGAGTGTTCTTCGGGCAAAACAAAGCTAGAACCAATTATCTTTGGTGCTCTTTCAGGTATAGAGCGACTAGGATGATCTTAGAAGAAGATTTGCTACTGCGGAATTTGCTCACTACTTTTCCAGCTCCATTGGCAACTGAGAACGAGCTCTGTCTTGTTCACAGTGAAAGGTATGGACGGACTTTAGCTTTGAATCTTTGTTTGATTTTCTTCTTTGGAATTGTTTCTTCCAGCTATGTGCAACGAGTGTTTAGCGGTGCTTTGAACGAGCGTGAACAGAGAGAACTAGGCTTTCCATGGAGTCGAGAACTTGTTGCTCGTTCTCGCTGCTCGTCCGGGTAAAGTTTTTTCTTCTTGTATCCTCATTTTTTGTGGGATAACTATGAGAGTTATAGGAAGAAAAAATCATGTCTTTCAGGGGAACGCTAGCAGCAATGCACGCTGTCATGCTCGGATTGCGGAGAGCAGCTGCAAACATTGCTGGTGGAACTCATCACGCATTTCCTGAGCACGGCGAGGGATTTTGTAAGTTGTTTCTGTTTTCTTCTTCTTCTTTTTTGTTCTTTTTTCTAACGGGATTTGATCGATCCAATGCAGGTGTTTTCAACGACATTTCTGTCGCTGCAGTAGCTGCTTTGGAAGCTTATCCATCTCGTTGTAATTTAGCTTCTCCAGTTCTGGTCATAGATCTCGATGTCCATCAGGTGTGCTTTTTTATTTATCTTCCTTTATTTATATCCAACATTCGATTTTACGTTCTGGCTCTCACAGGGAAATGGTACTGCTCAAATATTTGAGAACGATAAAAGAGTGATTACTTTCAGTATTCAAGGAGCAAATAACTATCCATGGCGAACCAGGATGAAGTCTGACTACGATGTGGATTTACCAGACAAAACCGGTGACGAGGAATACGTCTCAATTCTCAAAGACTGGCTTGACAAGCTCTTCCAAATTCACAGCCCCGGGCTCGTTTTCTTCCAGGTAATCTATAATCCTTTTCAAGCTTTTTAAACTTTCAGTTTTTTCCAGGCCGGTGTTGATGCATTGCGAGAGGATAGTTTTGGTCGTCTCAATTTGTCCAGGTAATTGTTTTGTCTATCTTCCCACCGAGCGTAGCTTAACATTCCATTCACTTCCAGGCAAGGTTTGCTCCAGAGAAACAACTTGGTCTATAGTTCTTGTATGCAACGTAGCGTTCCACTTGTGATCACAATGGGCGGTGGCTATTCACGGCCACACACTGGTAAAAAACAACTTTGCGTCTTTCACCTACTTCACTTCTAGCTGAAAACTCGCTAAATACGCTAAGTTTCTGTGACAGTATCCGTCCAAGCTCATGCCGATGTCTATCGCTCCGCTGCTCTCAGATACGGCATCGGGACACTAGCCACAGACTAGAACACAGAAGAATCGCTCACAAAGTAAGCAAAAAGAAAAGAAACAAAACCACACTTTTATTTTTCAAGGTGATGAGAACAAGTTTTATTACATTCGCGCGGCAAGCACCATCAACTAACACTTGACAGGAAGCCGAGCATGATGGAGAAAACGTTGGAACTTCTACTTGGATTTGGAGCAGCTCGTCGGGTATCCATCGAGCTTGCAGCGCTTGGGAATGGTTGCCGCGACTGGAGCATCGATGGTGAATCCAGCGGCCTGTGCCGCGGCGATGGTGCTGCACAGGCAAGCCGGATCATCCTTAAACTTGCCAACGGCGGTGCAGCACTCGGTGGAGGGCGTGGACGTTTCGCTCTGGGCCGCTGCCTGGCACGGTAACAGGTCCGCTATGTTGTTCTTGCATTCTACCGCTGATACAATAGCCACTGTCGCCGCCAGGAACAAGACCACGAGCGCAAGCTTTGCGAGAGCCATGGATACAAAAGAAGAAGAAAATCTCGCGAGAACTAAAGCTGTGAAGAAAGTATGAGCTCCTTGAAGCTTTGTGAGGAGCTGAGAAGCAAGGTACGAATTTATATAGCCCGTGAAATGCAAGCTTGGTTTGATCTACAAGGTGTGGACTCTCGGGAGTTTGTAACGCATTCTCGCCAGGAATCATGGGTGTAAGCTTCCCCCTCTTGACGAATGGAAGGTATTTGCACGCAATGGGATTCTCTCTCCCTCTCTTATTTGAGATTCTCGCGATAATGTTTGCGATGATCATCATCTATCTGATCAAAGCTTTGCTCGTAGAAATTTTTCTAGCGAAGGAATCGAAGAACAGTACTAGTTTTTAAGAATTGTATAAGAGAAAGACCCTTCGTCCTCCTCTCGACCACCACCTCGGTAATCCGTCCATATAACTCTCGCCCGCGACGCAATCTTCTGGCTCCTCTCGATCACCGCGGGCGTGAGAGGATGCGTGTCGCTGGGCATGAAAGCCTCTGGGCTGCCTCTCTCACGCTCTTGCCTGGCAGGAACTACATTCGACCACCAAAACTCGCTCATCACCCGGAAGATCAATCCCCAGTAGTCTCGGTCCCTCTTCATCCTCAGCACGCTGCTCACGCCCGGCGTCCAGAAGTAGAAATCGAGCCACTCCCGGTCGAGGATCTCCATCAATCCCTGCGCTTGAGGAACGTAGAAGTATGGAAGTGTGAGCGGGCATGGAAGGACTTTGCGATGCGGGCACTTGACTTCCAAAATGCCACCACCACCGCTGTTCTTCGCGAGGAGTTTCCCTTCTCCCAAAATCCCATCACCACCACTGTTCTTCCTTTCTTCTTCCAGAATCTTACTAAGTCCACTATTCTTCTTGAGAGTTTCTTCTTCTTCTTCTTCTTCTTCCTCCACAAGACCGTCCGGCAATCCTCCAAGCCAATCGTAGAGCTCATCGTTCTCCTTGTAGATCGTGAACACTGTCTCGCGGTTGACGATGTTTCCCGTGATCTTGGAGTATTTCTCGATGGCTTCCACTTCGTTGCCAAGTCCCCACATCATCGCAGCCTCCCTGGGAGAAGAAGTCCTTGGAGCCCAAGCCCAGGAACTCATCTCTGCCTTGAGGAATCGCTCATCCGGACCTCCATTCAATCGGTCCTTGCCACTGACGACGAGCTCCGCGGATCTTCCATCCAGGAGGCCAGACTTTTGCTGCCAGAGCTTGAATCGCTGGCCCTTCCACAGTCCCAGCGCTCGTCCGAAGTGGCAGGCTGTGAGCCTTGGCTTTGTTTGCGGCGGTGCCGCCCGAGGAGCTGGGACATCGCCATCGTCATGTTGCTCGCTTCTTCTTTCCAGGGACTCCAGGCGGCGATCGAGCTGCTGGAGAGATTGGAAGCCCCGGGGATGCTTTCCAGGCAATGCCAGGTTACACATTGTCGATCAACTGGCTGCTATAACAAGAATATTATCACTTCCTATATATCCAAGCGCTTTTCCTTCCTGGAGAGCCAAGAAAGCCAAGACAAGAAAAATCCAGAGAGTATCTTTGTTCTTGATGTTCATTCCAACGGTCTTCTGTTTTACTCATCCAATAAAATAGAGAAAGGTAAGTTTTTATTGCCTTTGAATATCAATTTTACATTTTTAGGTTATTATTGGTTAGTAATCAATTTATAATAAATTTATAATGATATTTTAGCACCGCTACTGCTCGAGCTGCTGATGCTATTGCCGTTTGCTGCTGCATCTCCACTCCACCTCACACCTTCCGGCCAAGCTTCCTCAGCAGCTCCACGTCGCAGGAAAGCTCGTTATCGGAAAAATCGTCATAGTCGCGGAGCAAGTGCCATAATGAATATTAGTGTGTGCATCTCTGTGAAGGCAAAATTTATAAAACTGTTTGAACAAACATGCTGGATCCATATCCTTTCAACTCCGAGTAATGCCAGGAGAAATCCTTATGACCATTCATGAGAGTATAGTCACTTTTGTAGTAGCCCTTTGTCAGTAGTTGTCAATTGTTCTTGAGGACCTGTGGTGAAGAGGACGATTCCAGGCCAAGATCCACTTTCAATCACAAAGATTCATAAGTAATTGTTGCTAGAAATGTGATAGCATTATAAAAAGCTTTCCTAATATTATTCCTCCAAAGCTAACAGAAGGTATAAAATTGAACTCTCTCCTTGACATTCCTAGTCCATGGCAAAGGTGTTAAGCTTGCTATCCATGCAACACTCAAACACACTTAAGTTCCTAGCAACAGAACCAACAATGTCAATACGAGAGAGAGAAACACCAAAGCAATACTCTTTTATTTCTCATAATTATTCATAACAATTTTGCTATCTCACACCATGCTCTCCGTCTCCATTATGCTCTTTTTTGAACATCTTTTCCATACTATTTTAATTATAACCTCTCCATTATTTTTTCTCATATAGTTCTCTCCTCCAATCAAACTTCCAGCATATAAAGTAATGCCAAATAATAAAGTAACTTCATCTTCTTCAAACATTCCACACATTCTTCTTTTTTAATAAATAAAAGTCGAGATATAAAATAAAGCATATAATTATACTCAGATTTGGCACTGCTGCCGTTGTCTCGTGAATCTCTAAGAAATGGTATGGGTTCAGAATCAGAGGTGGTGATCAGGAGGAGTGAATGATGAAGGGGTTGATATGTGCGATGAAAGGTTCAAGATATTTGTGAAGAACTATTGCAGAGGATACCTTCGTCTCTGAAGGGAACTTAGTTCTCTCAGTTCGAGTTGCGAAATTGCTCGTAAGCAAAGACATGGACCTGCGGAGTATTTTCCTGAGCATCGAAGTGCTTGCACAACGGCTCAACTTTGGAAAGAACCGAGAAGCTCTAATGCGTTGATCTGACCACGGAGACGAGGGATAAAGGTAAGAAGAGGAAATCGAGAACGTAGAAAGATGGCCGCATATTTCTTTTATCGTCAAAGAACTTCATAGCCGAAGAAGAGCGCTTTTAGAGCCTATAGCGCGACGAGCTATTGCTTCTGGCGAGACCATTGTACATGAACGATGACGATGGCATTTGGTTTGTCGAATTTACAGGGATGTTGCTTTGCGTCGAAGAAAAGTAAGTGGAAATCCCTTCCCCAAAGTAGCGTCGGCGAATTAACTGGAAGAACACACACATAAGAAAAGAGCGAGAATTTGATCCAAGAGGAAGAACAAAAATAATGATACCATCGAGAAAAAATCGTCGATTGCTTCCATGTCCAGTTCTCCGTCCTTTGCTGCCTGGAAAGAGAAAAACAAACCATCAAAGCCATAAAAAAAACCTTCTGAGAGCTATGAAGAGAACTAGTCATTCGATGCAAACTTCATCAACTGCTGATAAGAGAATGAGATCCTTTCCTTGTCAACTTTAGAGGATTCTTACAGATTTCGAGAAGGAAACATACCGCTCGAAGACCTTGAGTTCCAGGGAATGTTTCCGACGTAGGAAGCTCGTCCGTTGGAGAGAGGAGGCCTTGCTTCTCGACCCAATGCCTTGCAGCGTCAACGAGATTGCCACTGCTACCACCAGCCTTTGGAGCAATGTCGGCCTTGTTGCCAATCACCAGGAACGGCACTGGAACGAGTCCCATGCCGGACGATGGCAGCGGTGCCGAGAAATGGCCCAGAGAGGCTACTTCTCTCGCCCACTTCTGGAGGCTGCTCTTGGTCTTTCGCTGAGACAAGTCATGAACAAAAATGATCCCTGGTGTCAGTAGAGCACCATCTTAGAAAAACCGAAGAGAAAAAAGATGAAGAAGCTTACCATTGATCTGCGAGTAGAAGAGAGAGCGGCAATCCTTGTACCACTCGTTCCCCGAGACGTCCCAGAGCTCCACGAAGAAATCCTGGAAGCTGTTTGCCAGTGTAGTGTGTTGGATGTGCTGCCAAGAGCAGTAATGAGAGAGAGAGAGAGAGAATGGACATCGATACCTTGACGTGAACCGTGCATCCAATCGTCCGCGCGACGTCCTTGCCGCAGCTCCCATCCACAATCAGCTGCGCGAGCGAGGATTTCCCGACCCCTAGATGCGAGAGATCCCTCGGCCGTGATCTTGAAATTTCGAGAAAACCGAGAGCAGAGCTCACCTGCGTCGCCGACGATGAGGACGCGCACCTGGCCCGTCGGCGGCAGCGCCTCCTCCTTCGCCCTCCTGTACATACTCGGCGGCATTTTGGCAAAACCCTAAACCAAAGTTCTTTCTATAGATGCAACCATTGCAAGCTTCACTTTCTATCAAGTTGAAGTGTTGTTAAAGTGATGACACACGAATGTAAAACAAATCCCAAGTAGAAGCAATCAAGCTGCTGAAGTGAATTGTTTCCAAAGTGATGACACACTAATGTTACTAAGAATAAAAAGTGTGGTTTGGTTGTGGCTAGAAATCAACAAATGTAGCTGGAAATTGATCAAGTTAGATAGGTTCAAAAAGTATACAAAACTCAAGTTAACAATATTATATGGTAATTTGCATTTGACAAATTGAAATAAACTAAAATAAATTAAAATGAATTAAAAAATAATTAAACAACACAATGCTGTAAATAAGCATTTAATCTTGTGAAGAAAAACTATAATGTGCTATTGTTTAGTTTAGAATGGTTCATTCATGTAGTTAGTGGTAATTATTGGTTATTATATTAATTTTGATGAGTGTTAAGATTTTAATTTTAATATTGTTTTGTTAATTGGCATTGACATATGTGTTATAGAACACTATCAAACAAAAGATTAAAGGACATTCAAATTGTTTTTGTCGAATCAAAAAAGATTAAAAGAATATGAAATAAGCTAAAAATATATAAATTTAGAGAAGATGTATGATATGTAGAAGAAGAACTTCACAGACATCAACATTTCATGAATACGGTATGATACACTTTTACCTACACTGCAGTGATTTAATTTTTTGAATTTTTTTGAGATTATGATTGTAATTAAAACACTAAAGAATGAGTTATTGAATGTTGTCTTTGCCTAAAATAATCATTTTTTATACTTTTAATTTAGTGTTTTTAGGATAATTGTCGTATATAGAATTTTTAAGCTTGTTTACAATTAAAAGGTTGTGAGGATTATATTTTTTTTAAGACAAATACATTAACCCCTTAAAATAAAAAATAATTTTAGTTAATTATTTTTTTGTGTATATGTGGTCCTTTAAACAGGATGCGTGATATGTGAAAAATATAACTTTGCGAATATTGATATTTCACAAAAAAAAGGTATAACACACTTTTAATTGCACTATAGTGATTTTATTTTTTGAATCATTTTGAATTTGTAATTATAATTC